GACTTGTTTGTCTTGCCTTGCCTTTCTGCCTGGTTACCAAGTTGATTATGTAAAGAGGTATATATATAGTATGTAAATGTAACTCTATACTATGCACGTTTAAACTCGCTTTAGGATGCCTTGGTAACTGTCACCGTGGCAACCCAGTGTTTTCCATGTCGGCGTGGGAACGGCCCATTCTAAGTGGGGGTCTGCGAGCTAATCGGGTCGGGTTACCTCGTTTGCTCGCCAATTTGTCTGTAATTACATTCAATTTAACCCCATTACCTACACACACTCGTGTACTGTCCGACCCACTGTTGCCCTTAATGTGGGAAATATTTGCTATATAATATGAAGATGTGGCTTGATGAACACGTGAGTGGAAAAACGTGTTTCCTGCAAAATGAGCACCGACTCAGGAATTCCAGGAATGCAATAAACAGATCGAATGATGTGCGTGTGTAGTCGTAATTTTAGCCACTGTTTGTGACCACTTTAGCAATGGGTTTGCAACTCGGGGTGAGTACGTATGCTAAGTGGAGGAATGGGATAAAGTGATGTATATGTACGTATATCTACTGCGCGTCAATCTGATTGGTCAATTTGAATCTGCCGACATCTGAGGCCTTTTGGCCCATGTTTGTGCTGGTGGTTGGTTATTTTGCTTACTTGCGATGCTAGGATGTGCTCTTAACACTAATTGCTGGAATGCAACAAACAGATCAAATGGTGCACACATCCTGGTGTCACTTAGCCCGCCACTTTGGGTTGTGGATTTTTTACTGTTCCAGCCTTTCGTTAACTCTAGTACCACCACTGGCAAGAATCAGATATATACTTAGGTTTTTAGTTATCCCACTTTTATGCCTCGTGCCAGAAATAGCACCCAATTGGAGAGAATAAAGTTGCTGTCTAGAAAATCTTCATAAACGGTGTCCTTATTAGAGAGGTGTCCTCGTTTCAGGAGTGTCCTTAGAGAGGTGTCCTCATCTCAGGGGTGTCCTTAGAGATGAGTTTTCCATGCTATATGACTGATGTAGTGATAGGCTTGGCAGGTCGAAGGGTGTCATTCTGGGTACTGAACCATTACACGTGGAATCGAGCTAGTGATTATGCAATTAGCCTTTTCTGGAAGTTTCTCATGCCCGTCTGGGTTAATTGACCGTCAAACGGCATAGCAACGTGCGAAATCACACGCACACTTGCGTCTCCGTGTGTGTCCTATATATGCCGTCGGTAATCCAAATTGGAACAAGTGTGTGTTAAAATCATACCAAATGTCGTGATTTTCCTGCAAACTGGTGTCCGACTACTACGTATGTACGTGTGTGTGTGATGAGATGGTGAGTATTATAATATGCTGGGGATGTATTGTAACACTGCCATATGTCGGTGTGAATGTGTACTGCAATTATTGACCTGAGGGTTGCATGATTAGTTACTTAGGTGTCCTGATTAGCGACCTTTCCCAAATTAGTGAGGTGTCCTGATCAGTAAGTTTAGTGAAATGTCCTGATTAGTGAGGTGTCCTGATTTTCGAGATGTCCTGATTAGTGAGGTGTCCTGATTAGCGACCATTGTTTAGTGGTTCCGGAAGTGTTTCGGAGAGTGTTTATCTCAGGGTGTGGCTAATTAACTCAGATTGCCGTTTAATTGGTGTCTGGGTTTTGTTTCCAGTCTTAGGCACACTATATACACTACCTATATAAACTCTATTGTGGTTTCCATGGGTAACACAGTGGGGTTGCCGTGGGTAACACAGTGTTTACTATTGCTGTCGGCATTGTAATAAGGTGTGGGAAACCAGATGTGGTGTGGTGTGGGTGTGCCCCAGATCTTGCCACCACCTGCACAAACCAAAAACAAGCCAAGAGGGGACGAGAGTGAAAACGAAGGAGAAAAATCATAAGAGGGAAGTCAGGAGAGGTGTCAAAATGGAACAACCTACGTTTTAACTGAGGGGGGGGGAGCAGGCGGACGAGGAGGCAAGATCGTGAAAGTATTCTTGATTAAGACATTATCGGTCAGGATAAAAGGTTATGGCGTAGAATGAATTATGCCGCGAGGCGAGGAGTGGCACGGGGAGAATCCTTCCTCCCGAGACGCGTCTTATCGTGTTAGTTGATTCGTATCCTCGTTTTCGCTGTGAAGCAGATGTTTACCGGATAATAACCCTGTTGTGAAAAAATGAGTCGTTTCGTGACCTGTTTTCCCCTACCCCCTTGATATGCCTTCAACTGATTTCCCACTCTTTCATTTTCTTTTTCCCACCAATGGGTTAGCGCTTTCTAAGATTAGTTTGTGCCTTGTAAGCGGTCAGAGGCGGTACCGCTTAGAGTAGACACGCATACGAGGAGGTAACTAGCTTCAGTTGGACACTTGTCGTTTTTTGCCTAGGGATATCCAACAAAGGCTTGACTTTGAGGGTAGTGGAGGATCGAAGTGTGAGGATTTGGTTCTCGACTGATAGTTTTACAATCCCCCCAGTTTAGTTCCTAGCTTAATACATGCGGAGTTGCATAGGGAGTAAAGAGTGAGACAAAAAAGGATGCGAAAAAAATTTAAGTATTACAATGGTTTGTGGAGGTTGTTGGGTGGTATACCTGTCATAATAGTGTAGTACTTTTCATCTATTCTAAAGTATTGATGTCTCAAGCTATATATTATCTGTGCCAGAGCTTAGGCTCTTATAGTAGACAGGCAAAAATAACTGAGATTGTAATCAGATTTAAGAGAGATATATATCTGTCGCAACAGCAAGGCTGTTGTTATGTAGTAGCATGGTAACTATTGCTTTCACTAGCACAGCCCTTTCCCCATGGATACTCTATAGTCCATAGTCTTAGACTAGTGTAGTGTGAACTGCTGACAGTATTGCCAAACATAAATGTAGGAAAAAGAACAGCACTTTGTGACAGTCTGTTTCCTTGCAATAGTGCAGTTAAATATTGGTGTCACTTTTACCATGTCAATCTCTCTCCCACTGTATACACAATGTATAGGTGTACACTAGGCCTATGCTATATATTGTGTGAATGCTTATACGATTTCAACCATATAGAAAGGCTTGAAATATTGCAGGCGTATATAGGAATAGCTAATGTTGTCAGGTCTGGGTCAGTACATGGGTGTTAAATACTTTGTGAATCTGGACATTACTGCACCTATGTAAGTTTGCGGCATAGACTGATAAAATGGCGCCACACAAACTGTTTGCAGGGATTATGTATGATTACATAATACTCTACCTGAAGAAAGATATTTGTTCCTAAACTATTTTCTGTGACAAACTCATTAAAATTTGTCATACATTATTCATAGTAAGGAACACCTAATCATCGATTTTCTGCATACCAGACTTATAAATATGGACAATGACATGATATCCCCCTGGCTTTTCCCTAATGCCAGGTGTGTTAGGGGATGTGATTATTTCCCCTATTGAACAATACAGTATACATAGGTTAGTATTGAGGCAGATCCTCACCTTTTACATATTCGTGCAGCACTTTGGATGCCGTGAGTATCTTATTAATAAGCAGAATTTTATGTATAAAGTATTAGCACCTAGTATTATAACCCCCATATAAATTCTTATGCACTTATGGTGGCTCTGGATACATGTATGTGTCGGTGGCTGGTGTTAAAACGCTTCCCAGTAATAAACCTGGAACAACTGTCGCATAATAGTGTGATTGCTTCACTGGGCTTTTCCCTGGTAAATAATTATGCCATTGTTTGGGTGGTGATACTGCATTTAATGAAGTGGTAATAATATTCATGATAGTTAATGCAATCATCAGATAACTTCATGATCCAATTAGCCTCACATGATTTGTTGGTTGCAAATCTTTCTTTGTACTTTTAAAAATAGTAACAACCTCTTTTGGTTGTAACCTAACGTGGAATTTATAAAGGACAACATCCATTTGAAATGTTGATACAAGGTAAAGCTCCCCAGTATCTGTGTCATTGTGTAATGACATCATTTTGGAATTCAAAGAGGGGATTACCCTGGGGTTTTCCCCCAGTGCCTGCATGTGCATGCTGTTAGGGGCTTTGGCCACACTATAGCAGTTCACTCAATATTGTTGCCACTACACTACATAACTGCAATAAATTATACAGTGGAACCCCCTCTAAGGACACCTCTGAGATTACACCTCCCTTCTTTTCATTCCCCAAGAACAGTTCTTGGGTGCAAATTAACCCCTGAAATACGACACCTTAATAGTACGAACACTTTCTGTCCCCCATTGGTATGCAGTCAACTCTACCAATCTCTGTTGTAACCTTGTAACTGTGCAGTTTATTATGTCTTCAACTCAAGCACCTGCGTAATCAGCTGATCGCCAAGGGTGTGTGTAAAAACAGTTATTGAATGGGTGAAGGGTGTTTTTGACCTATAATACATGATCAAGCCTACCTGTTGGTTGGTTGGTTGGTTGGTTGGTTGCGTATGCCTGAACAACTGTATGCTATTCTATGGACCATTGCACACATGATGTAAGCAGTTTAAAACATACCACACTGTTAATGTAGTACTCAGTATCACTCCAATAATGGTCCACTACGTACATGCCAATTTAATGCACAATTCACCACCAATTTCGTGTTCCAGTGTGAAGTATTTCAAATACTGCTACGTTTGCCTAAATCACCAACGGCGATTTAAAACCATTACATACTTATTAATTAGGAGGATCTTGTTTCATTCATATTCATAAGCCTTGTATAATATGTTCAACTGCCTACTGCAATGATTACCTTCTCTTTAACCACAGTTCACCGAGCAATTATAGCAAGCTGGTAATATTTTTCACTATTCAGTATAATTATAGCACTAGAGAAATCGTGCATTGATGACATCAAATTTCGTGTAATTTTGCCGCTATAAAGCCCTATACATGTATTTTCTCCAGCCTTACTCCACATGTGGTGCAGATGCTTACGTATGTAATTACAAATCTGCAAAATTCCTTTATTTCTAGCAGTTTTTTTTCCATTTCTCAAACTGCAGGTGAGCCCAAGAAAGAAATTCAAGTGTCCGTCGTGTACACCAGAAGAGAGCCTTTGGAGCGACCCTCAACATTACCTTGAGAGAAACGAATGTATCAACGTTTTTCAGAGCTTCTTCGGGTCCATTCCTCTTCAAACGGTCAAATTTCGACTTGATCCGGTCCTCTATAAGATTGAAAGTGCTCGTCGCAATAATAAGTACCCAGATATCGGAGAACTCTAATACAACAACTATTTATAGAACTGCTGATACAATTCTCTTGCGATGTTCCAAATTGGCAGCTCTAATCCGTGTGCGTTACGTATTCAACAGACACTTTTGCAGCTATATATAGCAGACTGAATCATATTTTTCATTCCACTCACAGATCCATGTATAATTATACCAATTAACGGCACTCAGGCTTTGTGTGTTTTGTTTTTTCGTGGACACCTATAGGCTCGAAAATGTCTTCACTACACAATTGCGTACCTAATTACTTAATCATAATGAAAATCAGTTTTTATGCTTCCACACTTAGCTAGCTGGTAAACTTAAATCAGATGCCCATCTAATAGCATGTTTTGATTTTTGGAACACTTTTGCAATACAAGTCATCATTCATGTATATCACCAAATTTTGAGCATGAACGTAACTGTAAGTGCTAGCACACGGTTTGTTGTTTCATTTTGGGCGTCGATAATGATTGATCATAATATTATTATGAAAGATTGCTGTGAATGACTGAGTGCTGAAAAATCAAGTGCAAAAAAGTGAATGAATGGCAAGCAATAGGACTCCAGAGTTGTATGTAAGTAATACAGCAATAACAAACACGAACAGATGAATTATTAGGATAGTTGATTGTCTGCATGTGCAAGTGTGCGCAAATATTCTGTGAGACTGCATTTTTCTGGATATAATAGCATTGAGTTTTCGGTAAAATCCTGTGTGTTAAGTTGGATTTGTTACGAAGACGTCGGTTTCTTCGGAGTTCCGTTTATCATTGTCGCAGCTCTTAGCTCTCCAATCAGAGTCTGCTCCTGCAATTATAAAAACCAGATAGTTTTCCTAGGTAAAATTTCATCATAAGCAACATTCGCAGCTATAGCTATTTGTGTAGCTACAGAGTCCATAAAGTATTTCAGAGCGTAAAACCTTCAGAAAAAACTTATAATCAAAGTATATACTTCCCATGTAGCTCAGAGTGGTTGATGAGTAATGAAATTTGAGCATGAAAACTTACCATGTTCATGTGGGTGTTGTCTGGAAATAGAGCGTCAACTAGGTCGTGAAGGACGTGCGTACAGTAGCCCACGAAACGACCGAAGTACGTTTCGTGCTCGCGAAGCTCCAGCAAGTCGTAGTTGAGGATGTTGCGGAAGCTTTTCATGTACATCGCGATGAGTTCGCAGCGGCTGAGGCTCCCCGTTTCCACCTGCGCCAGACCCGCTTCCATCCCGTACAGCTCCACGAACTCATGGCGGGTAACCCTGTAAATGTTTGTTTTCATGGCCTGAGGGAGCGACTGAGGCACCACGAGGGGTTCTCCCACTGGTTCGGCTCTCTCGTCCCCTCTTCCTACTCCGCCCCTTCTTGCCGCTGGGGGGTCACGGACCGAGTCAATCAGTTGAAGGAGTTCGTCGGAGGGCGCGACGCGTTCTCTCACCGCGCATTCGGGCTCCGTCCCGCCGGCGTAGCCCGCAGCCTCTGCTTCCTTCGCTCGGTCGCCTCCCGCAGCTTCGCTCTCCGTCTTTTTCTGCAGTGGCGGCTGACGTGACGCCAGCTTTCCGTTTCCCTTGGCCGTAATGCCCGTCTCTGTTGTCGTTGCGTCTTCCTCCACGTAAGCTTCAATGAGACGACGACACCAGTTTTCTAGTCTCGTGTCGAACTCAGACATCGCCGTCTGCAGGTGTTTTTCTCTGCGTGAATGAGCAACAAAGCAAGGGGGGCTACTTTTCTAGTAGCTGGCAGTATACATCCGGCGCGTACCGGAAACAATTAATAATGATTTATCGTAACAGGCCGGACGGAAGTAGGATAATCGGACGCGATGTCGCGTAATTACATACTTCGGCTTCACGTCAAAGGCCGTTCGTTGCATAACACTGTGGCTGTGTTATAATTACTCGATGGATGAAACGGGTTTGTGTCAGAGCCGACCTCTATAAAAACCAGGCTCTTACCAGAAATCGTCAGACCAAGACATACATATAATTTCAGCAGAAAACGAGTAAAAGTTTCAAGATGCAGACTTGTGTTGTTCCAACGAGCGGCAGTAGTGCTGGTTACGAACCTTCCCCGGAGGCTGGCGCGTCTTTCGCCGGAACGGGACGGCTCCCGAGGTCACGCTCGGCAGAAGACCTGTCGCAGGAGCAGCTGAAAACGACGGAGAGTGATACCGTGTTGATTTTCATCGAGTACGTTAGAAACAAGCTAGACAAGTCTCACCACCCGCGGGCCGGGGAGCTGGACGCAAAGTTAGAAGCGGAGGCAGGGAAGCGGAGAGAAAGCATGAGATTGCGGGGGGATGGGGCGGCAAAGAGCTCTCTGCGGAGACTCCACAGCGAACCCAACGGACCGCGAAGCTTGGAACAACATCACCGTCAGCTGACGGCGAACTGCAGTGGCGTGCGGCAGGTTTCGTCGCTGTCGTGCGAGGTCGCAGCGAGCACCGCTATTGCCGGCGCACCCCGTCCGGGAGCGCTTGTTCTTGAGCGGCCTCCGTCGAACAAGGACGAGCGACGACAGCGGGCGTCTCTGGCTGCAACGTCACGATCAATCTCCAACGCAAGCTCCGGCAGCGACACCGCAACTCCTTCGACTACCGTTGCCCCTCCGTATCACCACCAGTCGTCTTCCACAACGGGACTTAGCTCCAGCGCAACGACACCCGTCCTTATACCGGATCCTCCCCTCTGCGTCACGGGGGCCTCTCCTTCCTGCGACGCGGACGGAGCAGACTTTGCTTCCTCGTCTTACCCGCCTCTCTCTGCACACCGTCTCCACACAGTAGTCTCTTCCCCGGCCATTATCACAGCTCCCGTGTTTGCAGGTCGACCCATTTCCCAGGATTACTTTTGCACCGCTCAGCAGGTAAACATGTGTTTTGCGTAAACAACAGTTCCGGCAATTAGCGGCCACTTTGCGTGCCTTCCAAGGTTCCCAACACCTTTTAAAACCACCACAGGCATCCTTTTAGTAGTTGTTTAGAGACTCATTACAGCATATCTTTCCATTCTCTCGAGCTGTTGGTGTCTTCCATTTTCTCACGTTGTCAAAGCTGTGCCAATACTATTTTTCCACCTACACATTCTAATTGGCACATTCCCAATTGATAGGCGGATATGACCATGCTATGTATGTGTTTTATTGAGAACCAGCTGGTGCAGTGTTTATCTTTGTCAGCTCGCTGTTTCTAGGCAGCGATAAATAAACCCACAGGTCGTCCACAAACAAAGTAGACCTTTTGAAGGGTTAGGTATGGGGTTAAATGCACCTCGGAAAGCGTGGAAGCATGCAGTTTCTTTTATTGACTTTAGTCTGAGTGTGCAAAGCTTGAGGCTATTCATGCACGCAATGAAGTGTATTCATGAAGTGCTAGAGCTACTTAGCTGGGTATCCCTTAGGCCCATGGGCTGTAAACAAGTCTTATGCAAGTTATGGAGTAGCGTGTTGTAACCTCCTTCAAAGAATCATAGTTTGCAAGGAGCAGACAAACAAGGCACAAACAGTGGCACAAACAAAGACACTGAGGCAATGGGAAGGCAATACTCGCTTTGACATAGTCTGTGTAGGTGTGCTATGCTCTACTTTTGATTTACTCCCTCTCCCATTTTCTATCCTCTTTTCCCTTTCCCGTCTCCCCATTTCTCCCCTTTCCTTCTTGGCCTTTCTCTCTCTCTCTCTCTCTCTCTCTCTCTGCTATCCTCATACAGCCACTCACACCACAGATGACCAGAGCGACAATTGCCAGAGACTCAAAATGGCGCCGACAGCACCACGCCAAAATCATCGCCAACAAACTCAAAATATTCGGCGACGAAATCTCAAACGCGCACGAGGAGCAACTCCAGCAGGAGTTTGCGCAGCTCGCGAGCGCTCACCCGAATCCGCAGCAAATCATAGAGGTTTTCTCTTTACAACTCCGTCACATGATGGTCGGCCTCTCCTGGCAGTCCATCGGGAAGGTCTTCCACCTCAGCTATCACCTGATTCAGATTCTGACGGCCCTGCTGGGTCCCTCGGCCGACGTGACCGCTGGTCAAGCCTGGGAAGAATTCTCTGATCTGTGGGACTTTACCATCGGATCAGTTACCAGATGGATTTCTTCTCACGGAGGATGGGTGAGAAATGTTTATTTTTAAATAGGTCGCTCAACCTGTTTTCGTTTTGAAAATTGGAGCGTAGAGCCAGCAAACAGGTTATAGTTCCCTTGGAGGTTAAAAATCACTGTGTTCCAAGCTGGTTGTAGGTACATGCGTATGTACTGCAGAGCTGTGTCTAAATTATTGTACATTTTAGAAAGGGTTGATGGGAGTGGAAAGTAATTTGGCATTGAGACTAGAAACAGACCTCCTCCAGTAGTGGCTACTCCCTCCTTGCCCACCCACTTCTCACGGCTTCTTCGTCTGCACTCACAATGTCACCACTTTACTATATTTTCCAATCTCTGTGATTTTTCTCTGCCCAAAATTACCAACTTCTTTGTTTCTCTTACGATGGCTTTGTTTGGGTTTAACCCTTTTGCTACGTAGAGAAGGGACTTGCTTGAGTAGACCTGATTAAGTTTGTACAAAGACACTAGCATCACTTAGTGTTAAGTTGAAATCTTAGCACCTTTTTATTGTCTCAGCTCCTTAGCAGCTAATACCTTAGCTGCCACTACATATTGCATGCGTATATAAGTCTGTGTAGCATTTGGTCAATTCTCTCTCTGGAAATGATACACCAATAACAAACTCGACTCGACCACTATCATTACACCTCACTATGTAACCCACTTCTCTCTCACGGGAGCAGACGATACAGGAGACCTTGTCAGCCTCCACTTTAGAGTTTCGCGCTGGTTACATGTCTCAGCAGTTCTTGCACTTTGTGTCCGAGCCAGCCATGCAAACACACACATACCTACCGGCTTGTAGTGTGACAGGCTTGTGGTATATATGACATACACACTTTGCTCCCTACTTGTAGCATGCCCGCACTAGTTTCCGCCACTTGTTTTTAATCAGATTATGGCACGTCTGGCGGAAAAATGAGCGTGTTTTGTGTTAACACCTCGAAGGCTAAAAGCCTTTCCGCCACGTGGGCATGTAATTGACGTGGTGGTGGCATGTGTCGGCGAACGGTATCCATGGGCGCAGGGCTATTTTCGATTTTCAGGATCGCACCATCTCTCTCCATAAACACTGGAACACTAACGGTTTCAAAGAGCGTGTGGAATCCCAATTTCGATTCCACGTGTTTTGGGTTTCACAGTTTACGCTGGGAAACGTCGGAATGGGTGTTTGTGTGTCTTTCAGCAGGCGAGGAATGCCTGATTGCTTCCCCCACAAAATATCTCGATAACAAATAGCATGTGCCTTGACCATAAATGGAAGAATACACTCGTCTCCCAGCTCGTGTTGTTATTTTGAGTCCTTTCTTTTAGATCGGTAAGACTGGGAAAAACTTGAATTTGGTTAGGAATTAGAACGTGTATTTTGTGATAATGCCAGCTTATAGGTAAAAATGAAGGCATAGCTTTATAATGAGAAATTGTTATATATAAACATGCACGCCTCTGAAAATTGTTTTTAAGTACAACAGAAAATGTAGTCTGCGCTGTAGAGAATGCTCTAGACACCTCAGTTGCGGATGTGTAGTGCATTTTGCTCCTATATGATGTCCTAGCCTGAAAGAACTTTGAATAACAAGTTTTGTTTGCAGCAACGGCTCCATAGCTTCTCTGCATTAGCTTTGTGCATTATAGGCACATTTGTCAATAGAGTGTAATGCCAACTGCAAAGAATGCGTACTTAGAAGTCTACCTTTAAAGAGTTTGTCTTTTCTCTGCATCAATTTGGACCTCGTAGCATTTGCCAATAGTGTATGTAGCTGTCATAATATGTGTACTGAATGTCGCTTAAGAGCCACTTCTCGTGCATTTTAAAAATGCATTATGGTGATTTTTTCACACGGTATAATCACAATCATATGCATAATGAACGTATGTGGCTAATAGTACAATGTACTGGTACATACGTTTGTATGGAGAGGTCTGTCATTGGTTCTGCACTTCACTCTAGATGCACGTGTAAATAGTCAGGACTGAAATGGGATGACACTACATCAATCACACACACCTTACTCCGATACTGGCACGCATGGTGGAGTGAGATTCCTTAATGAGCTGTGTTGCCGGGGCAACCACCGTTGCCATGACGGCGGGCATTTTTCTCACGGTCATTGCTATGTGCCAGTGTGGCAGTTTAGAGCGTTGCTTACTCACTTGCGTGCCAAGTTAGCCTATCAGCAGAACCTGCAACAAGCTAATGGGCTACCAGTTTTGTTTCATTGCACATAACTCCCTAATGTGGACAACTCTTTTGGGCGGTCCGTGATTGCGTTTCTTGTTCCAAGACTAGGAAAACACTCCGTTAGAGATACGTATGTAACCTAACGTAGCACATGGTCTTAGGTGAATGTATGTGTGTGCCATAAGTAGCATCAGCTTTCTAAAGGAAAAGGTGATGTGGGGGTTCCTACAGCAGCTTTAGATAGTTTGGTAGAATGCAGACGTCTTGCTGACTACACCTCTTGTAAACCTATCTAAAATGGAGCTGACCACTTGGCAATTGTTGATCGGAGCTGCTGACAAAGGCAAAACACTTCCCACGTAACTGTTAGACAATAAAACTGTAGCATTGATGCTTGCTCTGTAACAAGGACGCTTTTCTATAATGGCAGTATGCATGTGGAAATCGCCATAATTGCTGTGGCAATTGAAAAGCAGAAAGGGTATAGCTGACACTGAATGATGCAGGACATGTGACAAATAATTGTGCTGAAAACCCAAATTATCAGTAAGCACATATGTATGTACGTAAGCCGGGCTTCTCTAATGAGGACACTTCTCAAGACTGAGACACGCTGCTTGAGAGCACGCGAGGCCTGGGATACCTTACGCGGATGAACCACTTGACTCAAGTGCCGCTCTAAGTGCTGAAGCCGGCACGCGACTCATTCAGGCTAAGAAATCGAATCAAAACCCTCAAAACTGCACGCCGCGGTACTTACAGCAGCCTTCGAAGTTCCGAGAGCTCGATACGTCGAAGACTGGTACGGTTGCTAGGAAGATTTACAAGTGGCAGAGCTGGTCTTAAGAGCGATGAGATTACCCACGTGTACCTAGTTAGTCTCGGCTACAAAGAGACTGTGACGCGGTTGACTGTAAACAAAGCTCTGTTGCTTTGTCCCGGGTTTGCCCAGTGTTCTGACTGGACTAGAGTACCACTGAACTACAGCAGACGACACATGAGTCGGCGATTATAAAGATGAATTTGACAAAAACATTCAATTTCGGTAGAAGCTTAAAAGCTTTAACACTTAACCAGCCACAGACACATAAAATGTGCCCAGAGCCTCAATATGTCCATAAGAATTTGTATGGGGGTTATAATACTAGGCACTAATACACTATACATCAATTTCTGCTTATTTAAGCAGATCCCCGTGGCGTCCAAAGGGTTAAATATGTTACAACAGTTATGGGGTCTAACTTTACGTAGCTAGCATTCTATAACACTGGCACCTCGCTAATCAGAAATCGAGCGTCATAGGCAGAGCTCTATTATAGTTAGTGTGGAGTATAGAAACACATGATACTTTATGGTTCTCATAACATAAAGTGCCCACGTGGTTGCCATTGCAAGTTTGGGTATATTACGGTTCACAGCCAAACTTCATAAATCCGTGCAAGTCCACTCCATTTGAGGTACAATAGTGAACACATTGACTGTGGGCAGATGAAACACTTGGTTCTGTAAGGAAACTGCATCACACTGTGTAAGGGAACTATGTGACAGGACGTGGCACGAGCTCTACACATTCCCTTTCCCTTTGCCTTGTTAGGAAGCAGATGGACAGTCAAAGTCTTTACTTGTGTTTGTGCTTTTGAAGTCAGCTGACCAACTGGAACTTTACAAACAGCCACAGCTTTGGGTCCTCCAGAGAGTCCAAGTGTAGCTAGCTGTCAGTTTCAGTGTTTTTGGGCATTTCTATTGCACACTTGGCACTTGGCGATGTAGTGAGAGGCTTAGAGATACTTCTATGATGAAATGTCCATAGTCAGTCAGGCCATGTCCCTTTTCAGTGCATAATACACATCCATAATACTCAAAGCTGGTTCGGTTTATAATGTGTTAGGCAAAGCTTCTTTCTGTCTGTTTTTCCTTTCCTTCTGCTGCCTTTGTAGTCTTCACAGATAGTGTGTATATCTGATTTCTGCATGTGCTTAAAAAGTATGCATGAGATTTTTTTAACTGGTTAACATTTTCGAATCAGGAGTGAAGCATCATTACATGGTATCATGCATTATAAGACATTACGGTAGTGTTGGTGGTATAATATTATAGTCTTGGGTAGATAGTAATTCAGACAACTAGAGCTAGCTGCTTCACTCACCGATAAGAAAGAGCGCTCACTGCTTATGGCTAAAAATGGACTGAGCCTCACGTAGTGGGAACCATGTGTGTCATGGTGCCTGTGTTGTGTTTGTAACTATTACCTCATGGTGTCTATACCGCTATATAACCGCTGGTGTGTAAACAGGGATATGAGGGTTGTAAGCACTTGTGTTTTGGAATGACGTAGCACAACATAGTTGCAACACTGTGCGTCATTGTGTCATGTTGAGTCACAAGACTAACTGAATCACTTCTCGGTTTCCGTTTACGTATAAACAATTTGTTCATAGGCACTGACTTACCAGTGTACATCAATTAGGCATTGACTTACTGGTGTGCATCAATTAGGCATTGACTTACTGGTGTACATCAATTAGGATTTAGGGGTCACTATGCACCTACGTCTGTGCATGACACACAACAAGTAACTTTGTAGTCTGTGCAAGAGTAGCAGTGGCAGGTACATATATATATATGGAAGGCTTCATGCCAGAGGAACTTATTTCGATTCAACCTCAGATTTTTAAACTTGATTGAAAAATTTTCACTTATATACTCTTCTTTTCTCATTCCTCCTCTCTTCCAGAGAGCCTTCCCGGCTGATTCTACCACCCCCTCCCCCGACCAGCCATCTTGTCCGGCCACTCCCAGTTTCCAACGAGTTCGGAGCCGTCTCCTGAGTCTATCAGAGAGCGGCGAGTTCGAGTTTATTGACGAGGAGGGACATCCCCTCAGCGCCGACACAATATCGACGACGTCATCGGAAATAGCTCTGAGTGATGATAGAGAGGACCAGATGGGCTCATCTGTTGATCTACTCCACGATTCTCTGGAGGTAAATATAGAACCTTCATTCACTTCCATCTTTGAGTGTCATTTCAAAATTTAGCCCTTATGTACGTACTGCCATGTTTTGTTTATAGCTCCAATCTTTTTCTCTCTAATTGTAGGGGTCAGCCTCAGAGCCCACCCTGGCAATGAGCCCACACTTCTTCCTCACTCCCGTCACTGTACCTCCTCCGTGTGCCCCGCCCACCTCCTCCCCCACCCACCACGCCCACAACCACTCGTCGTCTCCAAAGAAGACCCCCAAGAGAAAGTCCAAAACTGGGAAATCAGTGACTCCTACCACTAGCAGTACTGTAGCCTTTTCCAATGGCATCCCTCAACTTCCGGAACAATCCGCAGCCAGCGAGACGACTAGGACACTACCAAAGAAGAAGAGCCATTCGGTGAAGGAGCGCTCCAGCAAAATCGGTGTTAATAACAGAGTGGAATTGGAGGGGCATCTGAGTAGATCGGGGAGTCTTCCTATACGTCGGAGATCCGGTGGCAGTAGTAGTAACAGTACTAGCGGAGGAAGAAGGACTTCGCAGGCATTCAATGGACTCATGATTGGGGTGGGCGGAGCTGCGGTGGTGTATGCTGCAGTCTCTGCTCTCATGAGACGATGATTTAATAATTATTCATGTCTGTAAACTTTCTGATGCTCTGTATCTGTCTGTGTTGTTAACCTGTTGATCTGATCATGAAAGAGTCCACCGGTAGAATGATGGATAGAAAGATAGAGCAAGAATGACATTAATGTTATACAGGCCACAGCACAGAGATTTTAAATGTATCTAAAATTAGTGCCGATTGTGAATTCTAGCTTTCCATGTGTGTCTGTCATCTCACGAACGGACATTTAGATCGTTATCGCGTGCTGGGCGGCCCGAAAAATTTGTTATCGCGGGACATAGCAACGTATATACGTGTAGTTTTTGTGGACTCGTTGCTATGGGGTTTTCTACCAATCCTGACGTTACACACCGCGCTCAATGGTTGCAAAGAACATGAACCCCAACTATACATCACCATGGCAGCTTCGTGCAGCCAGCTGCCAAAATTGTTGAGCAGGGTGCGGAGTCAATCCACACTGCCTACAATCAACTCAGTAGGATCTACGCAAACATCTGGACCGACTTCGTCAAGTCACTGTTGAAAATCACAGATGCACTTGCCCTCTTTGGCTAAAAACATACAGGGAATCTCCCAGTAGATCTATCATACCTATCTTTAGACTTACCCATCCAGTTTCTTTTGATCCGCGTCCAGCTGGACGACGGAGTGTGGTCCCACCACCCATACCACTCGTCTAAACTGTGTGACAGACGCTGCCACTTACTTCTTTCTCCTGTTTCACCCCTGCCGCTCTCGCCAAACCATCCCTTCGACCGGGAAGGAAGACGCACCGTCCGCAAGAGCTACAAACAAGCTCCCTCGTGGCGGAGGTTAAAAGTTCACAATAACAATTAGCTAGCCGTTTCCCCGGGGGGTAAAAAGAACTGGCCCGTTCCACGCACGCGTTGTTAAGGATTACGTAATTTTAATGTGACGCAGCTAAATGAGCACGCGCGCGCGGAACAGCAGGGTGTGTGTGTGTGAGCCCACTTAATAATTGCGCATGCGCACGAGGGGTGAAGCGTATACACGTACACATATATAGTGCTGACGGCGCACGAACGGGGACCTGGAAGGCTGCTCTAGAAACAGGGCTCTCCAACTTTTGTCAGCCTAGCTAATCGCGTAATCATTCATCTTTCTCTACCAGGCAGCACTGGCTGTGTTCCGCCGCGACAAGGCTGCTAGCACGCTGCGTACTCAGCCATTCATTTTCCAGAACTCTAACCATGGACTGTGGAGCTGTTAACGTTGATGACATGGCTTGGTATGCCTTCTTCATTGATCCAATTCCATTAGGATGGGTACTGTGGATTGAAACCGCCCCTGCACTGGTAATGTTTTTGTTCCTCGTCTATCTGTCAATACGCATGAGAGAGAAAGCGTGGAACACCTGGAGTAAACGATCCACTCGCTCTTTTGAGATCTTCTACATTTTATTCTATATAATCATTTTAATTTTCTCCCGTCTTTTGAACGAAGAGGAGTTTGGTACAAATATGGACACATACTTGTTTTCTGTCTATATTATCCCAATAATTCTCATTTCATGTACCAATTTTTACATAATATCATCGTTGGCAGCAGCAGCAGGTTTGCTATTTCATGTAGTGTTTCCATTTTTACCTGAGAGTCTAAAAACGTGTTTTGAATCTCGGAAAGCAAAAGCAATCGGAATATGCCTTGAGATTGTTGTACCGATATCAGCCATTGCATATGTGAGTCTCAATATTGTGACAGCATATCGCCTTACTACGCCAGATGAGGAAAATCTCAGTTTTAAGGTCAATGTCATATTTTGGGGGTCAACATCACTAATTCTGTTTGTATCTTTTGTTTTGAATGTGTTGAGCATTGTTTGTTTGATAGTATTTATATGCATGTTAGCAAGAAGTAATGTGAACAATAGAATGCTTTTAAAACTCCTCCCCTTTTTTGGTTTTATTATAGTAGCCTCTTTGGTTTCTTTTGTTTTAATAGTATTCTTCAGTGTTTGTAATGCCCAGTTTGAAGGGCCTGTGTTTGTTTTAAATTCTCTGTTTAGTTTCATAACTGTTATAGCAATAAATACACTGACATTTCCAAGAGATGTAATCTGGTGTTGTTGTAAGTGTTGTTGTTGTTGGAGGAGAAGGAGGGTACAACTGGCCTATCCTAACGTCAGAACACCACTGCTTGTCAATAATGCTACAGAGGGAATGGAGACACATCCAGCCTTGGTATGGGATCACAGGAATGATCCCAGTGGTACAACTGCCACCCGCTATCATCCTGAAATGACTGACTGTAGATCTGACTATCAACAACTTCCACGATCACATGATGACACTTACTACTGTGTTACGTAGATTTGACTATCATTGACTGTGCAAGTGGTCATCCTTAATGATTGACTGTATGTCTAATTATGATAATTTAGCTTCCACTAAACAATCATAACACTACCATAATTGTTGCTCTTTGCAAGGAACTCTACTCCAAGAGCTGCGTTAGCTAATTATTCTGAACATGAATTTACATAACACCACCACAGAAGGCTTTATAGTTGTCATAGCTATCCGGCCAGGAGGCCAGCTCAGCTGCCGACCACCAATCACATGAATATGAAGATGATACACTGACTGAGCACCATCTCTTCCATTGTTCATTACTAAAAGAGAGGGAGAATATTAATGTATTATCATTATGGCCTATATAGCTCTTCGCAGGCGTTCAATGGACTCATGATTGGGGTGGGCGGAGCTGCAGTGGTGTATGCTGCAGTCTCTGCTCTCATGAGACGATGATTTAAGGAGCTATAATAATTATTCATATCTGTCAACTTTTTGTATCTGTCTGTGTTGTTATGCCTGTTGATCTGATCAATGAAAGAGTCCACCGGTAGAATGATGGATAGAAAGATAGAGCAAGAATGGCATTAATGTTATATACAAGCCACAGCACAGAGATTTTAAAAGTTAGTGCCGTTGTGAATTCTAGCTTTTACTCTTTTTAATCATTTTAATTCTCTCCCGTCTTTTGTACGAAGAGAAGTTTAGTACTATTATGGACACATTCTTGTCTTCTGTCTATATTTTCCCAGCCATTCTCATTTCATGTACCAATTTTTATATATCGTTGGCAGCAGCAGGTTTCCTATTTCATGTAGTGTTTCCATTTTTACCTGGGAGAGTCTAAAAACGTGTTTTGAATCTTGGAAAGCAAAAGCAATCGGAATGTGCCTTGAGATTGTTGTACCAATATCAGCCATTTTGTATGTGAGTCTCAATATTGTGACAGCATATCGCCTTACTACGCCAGCTGAGGAAAATCTCAGTTTTAAAGTTAGCGTCATATTTTGGGGGTCGACATCACTAATTATGTTTGTATCTTCTGTTTTGAATGTGATGAGCATTGTTTGTTTGATAGTATTTATATGCATGTTAGCAAGAAGTAATGTGAACAATAGCATGCTTTTAAAACTCCTCCCCTTTTTTGGTTTTATTATAGTAGCCTCTTTGGTTTCTTTTGTTTTAATCGTATTCCTCAGTGTTTGTAATGCCCAGTTTGAAGGGCCAGGGTTTGTTTTATATTCTCTGTTTAGTTGCATAACTGTAATAGCAATAAATGCGCTGACATTTCCAAGAGATGTAATCTGGTGTTGTTGTAAGTGTTGTTGTTGGAGGAGGAGGAGGGTACAACTGGCCAATCCTAACGTCAGAACACCACTGCTTGTCAATGCTTCAGAGGGGCAGGAGACACACCCAGCCTCGGTATGGGATCACAGGAATGATCCCAGTGGTACAACTGCCACCCACTATCCCTCTGAAATGACTGACTGTAGATCTGACTATCAACAACTTCCATGATCACATGATGACACTTTACTACTGTGTTACTACTGTGTTCTCACACTTTCACTGTTTGTATTACCGTAGATCTGACCTTGTGCAAGCATGTATAGTCAAACATGCGCATGCGCGTAAACGAACGCACCGTCACTGTTTCGCGCACGCGCAGGGGGTCACCGCGATGGCAGGCCTTCTTCGAAGATAGTTTGTCGCGATCGACGTGCGTTTCTTTATTTGTGTTTTATGGTGAGTCTGTTGACCTTTTATCGAGATTTGTGGTGGTGTAATTGCCGTCAATCTAACAGCAGCTCCTAATGCAGCAACGCCGCTGATAAGGGACAGAGAAGCAGAGGAACAACGTACTGGCTTACTAACAGGGAGTAATAGCGGATCTTCCACCACCTCATACAATCCTCTAGAGATGTCAGACTGTAGTCCGAACTACAAACCATTACCATAATTATTGTGATTATGACAATGCTTTATATACTATGAAATAGAGTACTAAATTTGTTGTTCTGACTGTAGCAAATGAATAATTATAGCAACCATGATTGTATTGAACTTCAGTGTCCATTTGTGTAGTGTAGCATTTCCTTGTGTGATTGGAACAATAACCCTTAAAGGTTTACAAAGGTAAGCAGCACGGCAAAAGTTTTATCTGTCTGATTGTCGAGCGTGGCAGGCGCGGCCCGCGCGCTAGCTCTTCTTCTCCTTCTTCTTTGTAACCTCCACTGAAAGAGAGTAGCCTATGGGGTAGGCAATTATATGAGGGCGAGTAGTTGACGGAGATGCTCGGAGTGTAAACGATGTAGAAACTCTCTCGATCTCTGAAGTGGCGGATTCTCGATGTGCACGTGCTGTTGCTGGGTGGGGCCGGGCGAGTACGTACGCGCGCGGGGGAAGGAGAAGGCCTGGTTTCGAGGCTAAGTAGAAACCATGTATCTTAGTGTGAAGATCGGTGCAGCTCCTACTCTACTCATACTCGTGTTCTCAGTGTACCTGACAGTTCGTCTCAGAAAAAAAGCATGGAACACTACCAGCAAGAGATTCAGTCGATATCTCGAGATAAGCCTAGTCGTATCGTACTTGCTAGCGCTCGTTTTGAAAATTCTCTGTGGCTTAAAAGTTGAAGAGAGTTGCCTTGCAGCTTATTTATATTCAGCTACATATGTCCTCTCTTCTGCAGTTGTTACCAATTTTTGTATTACTGTGTCGGCAACAGCGTTGATACTAGAAGTTATGTTTCCATGGTTTCCTGAGAGGATAAAACGTTTTCTAGAGTCTAATTCAGCAAAGAAGTGCAAGTTGACCGTAGAGATTTTAGGTGTTATAATGATTGTTTTATACAATATTTGTTGGATAGTATAGACTTTCCTGATGGAAAGTATATATTATTATTATCGATAATTATAAACCCTTTATCCTACACAATTGTACTCACCTCTTTAATCTTGCAAGTATTCAGCATTGTTTGCTTGTTTTTGTTTTTGCTTGTGATGGTAAGACTTAGGACAAAGACAACAACCATCTACAATTGAAACTCTTTTTGCTTGGTGCAATAGCTGTACTTGGTTCTGTATTTTCAACTTCGTTTTTTATTGGATCTGATTTAGCTTTGTTTATGCTCACTAATAATTGCATTCCTGGTACGAGTTGTATAGTATTTGAGATAATTACATATTTTGTAAGCATAGTATTTGTCACAGTAGTGACAGCATTGTCCTATCCACGAGAGGTTTGGTGCTGTTGTAAGAGAAGGTCTCTAACCTCCAACATCAGAACACCACTCCTATTCAATAATGCCACAGAGGGACAGGAGACACATCCAGCTTCGGTATGGGATCATAGGAATGATCCCAGTGGTACAACCGCCACCCACTATCATTCTGAAATGACAGACTGTAGATCTGACTATCAACAACTTCCATGATTTCATGCTACTGTGTTACCGTAGATCTGACTATATATATAGGTAGCTATCATTGACTGTGCAAGTGGTCATCGTTAATGATTTACTGCATGTATATATTTCTAAATGATTAGCTTCCACTATAATATAGTGCCATAAAAACTATCATAACACTACCATAATTGTTTAATAGTTTTTATAGTTGTCATAGCTATCCAGGAGGCCAGCTCAGCTGCCGACCACCAATCACGTGAATATGAAGATGATAGACTCACTGAGCACCATCTCTTCCATTGTTGATTACTGCCAGTCAGTATTAATGGAAAGAGAGAGAATATTGAAGTCTACAATATTGCCAACAACAGTGAAAACCTTTGAAAAGGACCCTCCGAATAATCTCTCTATAAAGGACACTTGGTTCCATTATATGATTTTACCTCCAAATAAGTGACACCTCTGAACAACGGATAATTTCAAAGTCCCCAAGGTGTCCCTTATTCAGAGGTTTCACTGCTACCAATAGTAGTTACCAATTCTGTAGCCATCAGATAGATTCTCCTTCTCAGCAAGGTTCCTTGCCACCACCAGCAAATGCCCCAACAGCTGAATAGAATTCATTAGATCTGTTCTACCATACAGAGACCTATAGCTATACCTGAGTATCACGGTCAGTTGAAGCGGAGAGCATTGGGATTGGGTTTCTAGGGATGACCAGGAAATGAGTTGGAGCTACCGGTGACACGTCGTGAAACGCCATACACTGAGTTTCAAACAAAACATCAAAACGATACATAAAAGAAAGAGTGGATCTGTTCAAAAGAGGTCGCACATTAGATACCATTTCGTCTTCGTAGATGATATCAGCAGGAACCTCTTTTCTTAGGATTTTGGAGAAGATTGTATCTTCTTGTGTTGTTGAGGGATTCTGTTTGCGGGCTGCATCTGTCTCCCTCGCTCTCTCAACTTCACCCTCGTCTCCAGCAGCAGCAGTAGTCGGACAAGACGTTTGGAGGTGTCTAGAGAGAACTACATTTGGAGCTCGAGGAGATGCATCGAGTGAGCCTAGAGCATGTCTGGACGTCAGGAGCACCAGTAGCTGTGCTGGTCTGCACCTCAGACCTATCATCCCCAGGGATAGAGAGAGACTCGAGACGCGCGCGAGTAAAACAAACTTCAACCTCACGTGCGCGTGAGCTGGTGAGAGCATGCGCAGTAAATATGCGCGCGGGGGATCGGGAACGACTGTTTATCTGATCACGAGTCCACCGGAAAAATGATAGAAAGATAGAGCAAGAATGGCATTTTGAAGTATTTTATACAGGCCACAGTACAGAGATTTTAAAATTAGTGCCGTTTTCGAATTCTAGCTTTCTATGTGTCTCTCTATATAGCTCTGGTCGGTCATCGCCCGCTTTATAATTGCGCATGCGCACGAGGGGCGAAGCGAACGGACGATACAAGTCGCCAGTCGGTTGAAGATCCATATCTTCTGTCAAAAGGGGTCCTTATATCCCTCCCACTAGTGGTTTGTTTCTCGTAATTGTCGCCATGAACCGTCTTGCTAACCATGGTATAAATTTGGATGTGTGCGAATCAGAGTTAGAGAGACAACTCCTGGTGCACTCTACTTGACTCTTTGACTACCATGGACCCCACCTTCTTCAGTCATGTGTTATGCTTCCTACATGTTTTCTTGTCTGTATACATGTCATGCCCGGGCGGGCCATTCAAACATGAACTTTGAACTTTGAACTTTGAAGCGTACGCGCCCTAGTAGAGTGCTGACGGCGCACTAACGGGGAAAGGCCTGCCCTAGAAAACAGGGCTCTCCAACTTTTGTCAGCCTAGCTGGTCGCCGTAATCATTCATCTTTCTCTACCCGGCAGCACCGGCTGTGTTCCGCCGTGAAAAAGCACGCTGCGTACCTGCCATTCATTTTCCAGAATTCTAACCATGGACTGTGTTAACGTGACTTTTGCTTTCTTCATTGATGCAATTCAATTAGAATGGGTACTGTGGATTGAAGCCGCCCTTGCACCGGTAATGTTTTTGTTCTTCGTCTATCTGTCAATACGCATGAAAAAGAAAGCGTGGAACACTGCGAGTAAACGATTCACTCGCTCTTTTGAGATATTCTACATTTTACCAACCATTCTCATTTTAATTCCCCTTCTTTTGAACGGAGGGAAGTTTAACACTAATATATGCAGATACTTGATTGTTGTCCCTATCATTCTCATTTCATGTACGAATTTTTATATATCGTTGGCAGCAGCAGGTTTGCTATTTCATGTAGTGTTTCCATTTTTACCTGAGAGTCTAAAAACGTGTTTTGAATCTCGGAAAGCAAAAGCAATCGGAATATGCCTTGAGATTGTTGTACCAATATCAGCCGTTTTGTATGTGAGTCTTCTGGCAGCATATTCTGGTCTTCCTTGGCCAGATGAGGAAAATCTCAGTGTTGAAGTTTTTGGGTCAACACTTCTAATTCTGTTTGTATCTTTCGTTTTGAACTTGTTGAGCATTGTTTGTTTGATAGTACTTATGTGCATGTTAGCAAGAAGTAATGTGAACAATAGCATGCTTTTAAAACTCCTCCCCTTTTTTTGTTTTATTCTAGTAGCCTCTTTGGTTTCTTTTTTAATGGTAATCCTCAGTGTCTCTGAAGTCCAGTTTGAAGGGCCTGTGTTTGCTTGTGTAAATTCTCTGTTTAGTTGCATAACTGTAATAGCAATTAATGCGCTGACATTTCCAAGAGATGTAATCTGGTGTTGTTGTAAGTGTTGTTGGAGGAGGAGGAGGAGGGTACAACTGGCCAATCCTAACGTCAGAACACCACTGCTTGTCAATGATGCCACAGAGGGAATGGAGACACACCCCGCCTCGGTATGGGATCACAGGAATGATCCCAGTGGTACAACCGCCACCCACTATCATCCTGAAATGACAGACTGTAGATCTGACTATCAACAACTTCCATGATTTCATGCTACTGTGTTACCGTAGATCTGACTATATATATAGGTAGCTATCATTGACTGTGCAAGTGGTCATCGTTAATGATTTACTACAAGTGGAAAAATCATTTCTTCAAAATGAAAGTAGGATATAGGGATGACTTGAAGCACCAA